CTTCCTTCCTTCCTTCCTTCCTTCCTTCCTTCCTTCCTTCCTTCCTTCCTTTGTTTATTTATTTCTGAGAACATTCCTGAAACATCCATTTCTTGCCAAAGATCTGCTTAGAACGGCTGTACCGGGCTAAGGTACAGTATTTGTTCACGAAGAACTCAGTTCTCCAGCAGTCAGAAAATATGGAAAAATCCACAATAAATCTTCATCGCAGACATAAAACAGATGCATTAAAATCAAGAGATAAAGCATGGACCCAGGAGACATCAGAAAGGCATTGATGCTGGGAGTGTTTAGATATTGCAGACACGGTCTTCTATATAGCTCAGGGCAACCTTGAAATCACTGCAATCCTCCTGCAGGAGGATTCCTTCCCAAGTGCTGGGATGTCAGGCAAATGCCACCATATCTGGCTACTGGAAGGGTTCTGAAGAATGAATAGAGTGTGCTGTGCTAGCCAGAGCAGCTCGGGCATTGAGCAGGTGTGAAGGCGCGGAGACTGGGGAGTAGGCTGACTTTCAAGGATGATTCGAAAGGATGAGCGTTAGGAGCAGCAAAAGAGAGAAGCTGTGGAGAGGGAGGACTTTGGGGTTGGAAGATAACTGTCCTGAGCCAGTGCATCAGCTCCTCTGACGTCCAGAGGACTGGAGATGTTTTAACTTAGATGGTGGCCATTCCTGGCAGAGAGGAAAGAGACGGCCATCCTTGCCGTTTATGAGACCAAGTCATCAAGCAGTCATTGTTCAGATGCTGAGGAGAGACAATGGCCATGTCTGCTCCTGGGACGGTCGTGTCCCAACAAGCAAAGTGGTTCTTTGTGTTGTCACCCTGCAGCTGAGAAAAAGAAGACCAAAGAGGCTGAAGTGACTGGTCAAATTCCCACAGAACCGGAAGCATAGCTCTGAGCTAGACAAAGAGAGCAGTGGACAGAGGAAGGCGGTGGGGTTGTTCCTGAGGAGACAGGCATCCAAATATCTGTCTCCCATGATTTCCCCACAGACGTGTGCAGTCTGCCCCAGGATTCTGGTCCCTGCTTGGCTTATTTTCCACGCTGGTGGTATAATAAAAAAACTGGGCTCTGTACCCAATTCATCTATGGTGGTTGCCAAGGGAACCTTAACAACTTCCAAAGTGAAAGTATCTGTACATCCATCTGTAAAAAATGACGTAAGTGCTAAAGGACCCCAACCTGCAATTTGAGCATCAGTCCTTTCCAAGGCCTGGGCAGTCCTGGAAGTGCAAATGGAAGGACCTGGAAAAGAGGGGATAAGAGGGAGGCAGTGGGCTAAGGGAAGCCTGCAAGTCTTGGGGGAGCAGTGGGAAAAGAAAGGACACAGGAGCAGGGAGCACCCGACCCAACTCAGAGGAGGAGCATGTGAGCTGCCATGGTCACCATCCTGAATTAACAAGTATAAAGTGGTATAAATTAGAAGGCAAATTACTCTGAGCTCAGCACACCCATCACTTCTGGTTTCCCTGCTAGCCCGAGGATGTGAAAATCATCCCATTCCCTTCCATTTGCTGAAAGATCTGGTTCCTATGGTGACTGAAGCCAAGCATCTCCATCCTTACCCTTGTGTCTTACAGATCTGTCTTCCTGGATATGATAAGGATGAACTGCAGGAAGCTCCAGGTCTTGGCAATTTGAGACTTCCTTCTGTGAGTCCAAGGATACTCTAGATTGGCTGACAGCGGCCAAGCCTTAGCCACTAAGACTCTGGCTGCTCCCACAACAGAACCGCAGAATTTGCTTATTCTCTTTCCCTCACCCCAGCGTCTCTTCAAACGTAATGTTCTTCAATCTTTCGACCCCTTCTCAGTGTAAGACCCTGTGACCTCAACTTTCAGGGCTCTCATTTATTCCTATGAAGACTCTAGTTCCTCCTAATAAAGGATCCTGTGAGTTCTAATGTCTCAGAATCTGAATAACTCCTCTGTTGTCTACAGGTGTTCACATCTATTCACAGCCCTTTGCATGCAGATGTTCACTTCTGTTCACAGCCTTCTATGTGCAGATGTTCATGTCTGTTCAGAGGACTCAATATGCTATCCCCATCTTGGTCCCCTGTATAAATTCTCAGATAACAATAGTGTTGTAAGGGGGCTGCTTGTTTGTCCTGGCCTCTCAGAACTGAAATAATCACACAGAAATCATATTATTTAAATCACTGCTTGGCCCATTAGCTCTAGCTTCTTATTGGTTAACTCTTACATATTAATTTAACCCATTTCTATTAATCTGTGTATCACCACATGGCTGTGGCTTACTGGCTAAAGTTCTGGCATCAGTCTCTTGCAGGGCTACATGGCTTCTCTCTGACTCTACTCTTCTTTCTCCCAGCATTCAATTCTGTCTTCCCTGCTTACCTAAGTTATGCCCTGCTATAGGTCCAAAGCAGTTTCTTTATTCATTAATGGTAATCACAGCATACAGAGGGAAATCCCACATCACGACAGATTATAAATCTTCTACTAACAGCAAAAAGAGAAGTGTGAAAATCATGACAATTGTGGAACAGGGGAAATGTATCTATCCTGCAATGCTAAAGGACTGAGAAAGAGAAGAGACAGCACTCCTAAAACTGGGGGCTCGTTTAAAAAATGCTTAGAAATATAGGAGAAAATATCTCAAGTAAGAATAGAGTTCACCATCTACTTTTTAAAGATTTAGTTTGTGTGTGTGTGTGTGTGTGTGTGTGTGTGTGTGTGTGTGTGTGCAGGTGCCTGCAAATGCCAGAAGTAGAGACCCCCTGGGGCTGGAGTCACAGTGATGTTGAGCCATCGGAAGTGGGTGCTGGCTATGACACTTGAGTCCTCCACAAGAGCAGCACATGCGTTCAACCCTGAGCCATCTCTGCGGTCCCTTCACTCTGCTCTTACCTGTGAAGAACTTCCAACCAAGCTTCCATTAGAACTGACTTTTGGAGTGTTTATGAGATGGTTGCTTGGGGGTGAAAGTCCTTGTCAGGGATAAAGGTGTTTGCTGTGACTGGCAGACGGTGTGTGTTCAATCCCTGTAATACCCACAAAGTGGGATGGGAAAATCAACGCCACAGCGTCATTTTCTGATGTCTACTTTTATTTACACTCTGTTACACACACTGTGTCTCTCTCTCACACACACAGTTACATACACATCATACACATAAACAGTAATAAAAATAGTGGCAGTTAATTTCATTAAAAAACATTTTTTTTCTGCCTGCAGGCACACCTCGCTGGTAAAGTCTAGCATTTTTGAGGGACTGGCTTCTGTCCCCAGCAACACACACACACACATACACGGTGTGTAAAATGGGGAAAATTGTTTCGTTTTTAAATATTTTTTTACATTGCTTCACTTAGTGGGGGCGTGTGCCATGGCCGATGTGTGGCAACACTCAGGAGTCAGCTCTTGCTGGCCCAGAAACTGAACCGGATGTTTCTGGGTTGGCAACCAGCACTTTTTACCTGCTGAGCTATCTGGCAGACTCTGAGAGTCTTGTTTTCTATTTCAAACGTGTTTTCTCACATTCCTAGAAACTTTCAGGCACGTGTTTTTCTGGCTCAATACGTTGAAAAGGTTGCCTCCTTCCACATCCCTCCAGAGTCAGGGATGTGAGCTCCAGAATCAAACCTCTAGCCTCGTGCCTCAATGTCAAAGGAGCTCGCACAGTATGCAATGGGATTAGTCCTTGCAGCTATTATTACGTCAGGAGCAACTTACTACACTAAACATATATCACTAATCCCCAACTAAATATGTTCCTAACTTAACTTCCTTCTGTGTGGATGCTCAAAATGCTGGCGTCTGTTCTAATGCACCTGACCCAGGAGAAGTGTGACGGCAGAGTGGAGGGGGACAGGTTGACTGACAGCAGTTAGAACCTCTTAGATAGCACCGTCATTTAACCACGAAAGCACAACAGCCAGGGTCCTTTCCAGAATCATTCAGTCTTCTCAAGGGAGGGCGCTGAGGCTGTGATGGACCAGCCTGCCTCCGTAGGTTTATGATTAAACTTCTGTTTCTCAAGGATTAGGCTATGCCCCACCTGTAACTTTAACTACAAATGGTTCTGTACTTCCTGTTCCAGGAAACAGTAACCATGTCTTTGTTGCATACAGTTGTTTATAACCATCTTGCAATCCCACCTCTCTTTCAAAAGGTTGCTATGACCACCCTGCAATCATGTCTTTGTTCAGGAGGCCATTATGACTAACTTGTTATGCTTATGTTCTGCCCCTATGACCCAACTTATTTTTCCCACCAAACCCCCATTTGGAAACCCCTTATCCATGAGCGATAAACATCTTATCTCCCCCATGTTCAACGCTGATCTCTTGAACCCCACCTTAGGGGGGAGGCAGCCCGTAAACATAAATTTAAAAAGCTTGCTTTAATTAACTGCCTGCTTTAATTCATTTAGCCATGATGATTTGGGACAGTGGTATTTCTCCTCAGATCTTTGGGGTTGACAGCTGGAGTCCTCTTCATGGTAAATCTGCATTTGAAGTTGCTTTCTGGGGTTGTAATAAAGATACAATTGCACAGTGTCTGCTAGAACCCCCAAATCAAATATTATGGGTGAGACAGGAGGAAGCAAAGAGGAACTGAAGAGGAACAGAGGAGGAAGTCAGGTGAAGGAAGAAATGGTACAAGACAGCATGGCAGTCTTGAAGCAGGGAATCAGTGTTGTCCCATGTGCCTCTTACCCATGAGTGGGGTCTAGGCCCCTTCACTGACGCTAGGTATGCTCTGCTCTGACCAATAAAACAAAACAAAAATGGTGTGTCATGTGACTTCCCAGGAAGATGGAGTTCTACTTCCTCTGAGTCCTGGGGGTGCCGGTGGGGGACTGGTGAGGAGCACCTGGGAGCAGGTGTCATGGGAGCACTCTAGTCATGGGAGACAGCTGCATTAGAGAGGCTCACAGGGGTGGGGGTAGGGCGCCTCTGATTGGCAGAGCTGGATAAGCTCCAAATGATGGACCATCAAGTAAGCGGCTCAGTGCCGTGGCTTCTCAGATCAGGTGAAAATCCCACGAAGAAAGTGCCACACGGACTCCACCAAATCACTAGAAAACTTAAAAGATACAAGCCGCTACTTCACACAAGACGGGAGGGACCCAGAAGCTGTCCTCCAGCTTCCAATAAAGATGTGTGAGTCTGCAACCCCTACATGCAAACTTACGAACAAACTTTCAAAGATTTAAAAAAAAAATATTCTTGTCTAATTGAAATGTTGTACATCTTAAAGACCTTATACATGTGTGCAATGTATTGCACATGTATATCGTCGGTAGGTTCTTATCGTCTCGCTATGGTGCGTGAGCAAGGGTGATGGGAATAACCTGTGCTTAGTCCTCGTTCTCTCATATTTGAGCTGATCCATTCCATGTTCTCTCCACGCTCCCTTCCTTCACCCCCCCAAACAGATCTTCCATCTCTACCCAAATTCTCTGATTTTTGTCCATGAGGTACAAATTCTAATTAGTTCTGCCCTTATGTGCCCCTGTATGGGGTCATCCACTGGGGCATGGGCAAACGACCAAAAGCCACTTACCACACTTAGAAAAGTGGCTCTTCCTCCCTTGGGAGCCATCAACTGTCATGAGCTTCTCAGCTGCGGGTGAGACATCAGGAGTCAGTCCCTGCTTCATGTTGGAATGTTTGAGTAGCTTGATCTTGTGCCGGTCTTGTGTGGGTAACCACGGGTACAGTGTGGGTAACCACGGGTACAGTGTGTTTGAGTGTGTAACAGTCATACAACCTCCCGAAGTTTGCCTTTTACAGCACACCCACAATCTACCCTGCCCCCCTCTACCACACTGCTCCCTGAGCCTTGGGTGTGGGGCTGGAGGTAAGGCAGGGGCTTGATAAAGACATTCTATCCATGGCTGAGCCCTGATTGCCACTTATTCTCGGCATTGTCAACAGTTGCGGGTTTCTGAATTTGATCACCACCCACTGCAAAAAGAAGCTTCTTCTAGTCAAGCTGAGAGCAGCACAAATCAATGGGTATAAACATGCATAGCTAGGGGACTGGAGAGATGTCTTCACAGTGAAGATCACTTGCTGCTCTTGAAGAGGACCTGTGCTCGGATCCCAGCAGCCACATAGCAGCTCAAGACCGTCTGCAACTCCAGTTCAAGGGCTCTGATGCCCTCTTCTGACCTGTGTGGGCACC